GTTCTTTGATTTATTAAAAGGAGAGAGTCCATTCTTCCTTCTTCTCTTGAGCTGGAGAGAAGCAGGTTATAACAAATGCATGAGACCTTGAGGCCATATCTCATGCAGACTAGTCCTGTGTCAGAGGAGAGGGTAAGCAGTCATTTCATTCCGTTACATGGCTTTCTACTTTTTCACCTCGTGAGTTATTTTCACTAAGCAGATCAGAGGCAAAACAGCGGCGTGCGTGCATGGCTGCGCCAGTCAGGTGAAGTCAGGTGGACTACAGGTGATTTCAGGTGAGCTGGCTCGCTGCCGTTATTCGAACCCTGCATGCTGAATAAACCCCTGCAGTGAATCTGCGTATTTCCACTTGAACATATCTGCCAAATGATTTGTACAATATTCAGATTTTTACTGTACTTCCACAAAAGGCGAATTCTTTGTTACTACAGAAAACTGGACAGTGTATACATTCACGCTATAATATCACTGTGAAAGTCATAATAGCTAATTGGCCCAGATCCCAACCTACTTTGAGGATAGATTAACGGCGACATTTTTCTTATCGCGTGTTCAGTCTGGCGTTGCCGCAGCACGTAAATGCCGATAACGGCCCACCCCTAATATATATATATATAAATTTATATGTGTATATATATATATACACACATATACATTTATATATATATATATATATATATGTATATATGTATATATATATATATATATATATATATATATATATGTATATGTATATATATAAATGTATATATATATATATATATAAATGTATATGTGTATATATACATATATATATATATATACATATACATATATATATATATATATGTATATGTATATATATATATATATGTATATGTGTATATATATATGTATATGTATATGTATATATATATATATATGTATATGTGTATATATATATATATATATATATATATATATATATATATATGTATATGTGTATATATATATATATATATATATATGTATATATGTATATGTATATGTATATGTATATATATATATATGTATATGTGTATATATATATATATATATATGTATATGTGTATATATATATATATGTATATGTGTATATATATATATATATATATGTATATATATATATATATGTATATATGTATATGTATATATATATATATATGTATATATGTATATGTATATATATAAATATATATATATGTATATATGTATATGTATATATATATATGTATATATATAAATGTATATGTGTATATATACATATATATATGTATATGTATATGTATATGTGTATATATACATATATATATATATATATATACATATACATATATATATATATATATGTATATGTATATATATATATATATATGTATATGTGTATACGTATATGTATATATATATATATATATATGTATACACACACACACACACACACATACACTCACCTAAAGAATTATTTGGAACATCAGACTAATACGGTATCTGAACGTCTTTCACCTTCAGAACTGCCTTAATTCTACGTGGCATTGATTCAACAAGGTGCTGAAAGCATCTTTAGAAATGTCGGCCATATTGATAGGACAGCATCTTGCAGCTGATGGAGATGTGTGGGATGCACATCCAGGGCACGAAGCTCCCGTTCCACCACATCCCACAGATGCTCTATCAGGGTGAGATCTGGTGACCGTGGGGGTCGTTGTAGTAGTGAACTCATCGTCATGTTCAAGAAACCAGTTTGAAATGATTGGAGCTTTATGACACGGTGCATTATCCTGCTGGAAGTAGCCATCAGAGGATGGGTACATGGTGGTCATGAAGGGATGGGCACGGTCAGAAACAATGCTCAGGTAGCCCGTGGCATTTAAACCATGCCCAGTTGGCACAGTAGGAGCCATTTATTTTGTGGGTTGGGCTTTCATCAGTGGTGGTGGTGGTGTCGGGTGCGTCACATGTGATTTAAATGGGTCCTCAGGTGTTTCGGTATAGCTGATTACGTATGGGTGGCGGGATGAGCATACGGTTTTTACCGCTCGCGACACCATGGCACGATATACTTCCTTTTTGTGACAATCAACTGGGAGCACTCCTATCCTTGGAACCGCATCATCTAAAACGCCAGCTAATGCTTGTAAAAGAAAATAAACAAGACTTTAACGCACGGACAAAAAGAGGTTTGATTTATGAATAGAAGGGCGTCAGAAGCCGCCTCCGCCCTCACCCAGCTGGCTGACAACAGGAAGTGTCAGCAAACAAGTAAAAACTGCACTCTCACTTGGAGAAAATAAAATAAAAGATCCACGGCCCCTGACGCAGATCCTTTTGGAAAGCGTGGAGCTCATTCTGGCACCGCGCAGATGTATTATTCGAGGACGCTGCTGTACTCCAGGAGCATCCCGATGAGAAGCCACGGTAACGAAGACATCAAAGAGGTACCGATGTAAACAATACCGCAGCCTAGTCTTCACGTGGATGTGGAACAGATTGCAAAGTTTGATGCTACAAAGCTGTTCATTGCGTCAGTGGGTGTGGTGTCGCCTTGAAGGTGCGGCGATTGTGGTTGTTTTGAATCCAGAAAGGATGACGAGATCATCAGTTGTTTGAGCTGTGCAGATAGAGCTGGAGTGGTCATGCTCAGCTTCCCTTATTAACGCTGATGTTCGCGGCGCACATGTTTGAAAATGAGTGACGTGCGTAATGTTGAAGCTGGAGTTGAAAGTGCTCAGCGCATCACGGCTGAAGTTGAACAAGGAAATATGGAAATAGAAAAAAGAATAATCAAACCGACTCCAAAAGCGATTTGAATGATGACTGAAAGATTTCAGAAGGAACGAGATTATTGTTTCAAACAAGCAAGTAAAATAAAGGCTAAAATGGATGAACTGTTGGTCTCAAGAGGAAATGTATGTGCTGTTGAACAAAATCTGGAGAAGTTTAAAAAATGTTGTGAAGATGCTACTGAAGCTCATATGTTGTTGTTCACAAAGATCTCTCTTCCTGCGGAAGAACAGGAAAAGCAACAGCAACGGTTTGATTTGAAGAAAGATGCCAGTGATGCTTTTATTGATAAAATTGCTGTATGGTTAAAGGAATCCTGTGTCCTTCACTGGAAGGTGATGAAACTAATATAAATTATGAAGTTGCTCATAAAAGTGAAACGATTCAGTGTCATGATGATATCAATCCTGAAGACAGTGTGTCGAACATATCAAGCAAAAAGTCAAGGAGAAGCCATTCTGGTACATCTGCCTCCAGTATTTCTTCTGCGTGTTTAAAAGCAAAGGCAGAGAGAGCAGCTTTATTGCAGAAAACTGCAGCTCTAAAGGCGAAACACGAGCTGGAGGCTCAAGAAGAAAACCTCAGATTGGAAAGAGAGAAATTGAGAAAACTTAAAGAACAAATGGAGATTGATACACAGATTGCTGCTGCTGTTGCAAGACTGTCTGTGTTGGAAGGCAGTGATGTTAGTGGAAAGGCCTGCTCTGATGGCATGAACTCACATATGAGCAGAGCTCTAAAGGACCAAAAGAATGAATGTAACCCCAACGCAAAGGAGTTTATTCCAAAAAATGATGGTCAGTTAAGAGAGCAAGAAACACAAAATGGGTTTGCCCAAGATGTGAGACCAAAGGTGAGAACTGAAAAGGAGATATTTACAGCTCTAAACCCAAAAAAGACTCTGATAAATGTTTCTACAGTGACACCATCCGTTACAGAAAGAGAGGAGCAACAACACTATATTTTACCTACTCAAAATACAGTTCTTCAGGAGTCCGTCTGTGAAATCATGAAAAAACAGAATGAAATTACTGCTACGCTGATGCAACAACAGAAGACCACAACTTTGCCACAAAGAGAAATAACACCATTTGATGGAGACCCATTGCAGTACATTTCATTCATTAGGACATTTGAACATTGTGTGGAACACAGAACAAATAATTCCCAAGATTGCTTGTATTTTTTGGAGCAATATACCAGGGGGAAGCCAAGAGCATTAGTAAGAAGCTGTCTGCACATGACACCTCAGCAAGGATATAAGAAGGCAAAGGAGCTGCTGAAAGAACATTTTGGGGATGAGCATAAAGTAGCTGCAGCCTATATGCACAAAATATTTGCCTGGCCAGCACTAAAAGCTGAGGATGCTCAAGGAATGCAATAATTTGCTCTATTTCTGAAAGGATGTAGTAACACTATAGAAGACATTGAACACATGGAAGAAATGAATATTTCTGCAAACCTCAGAAAGATTATCATGAAGTGGCCATATAAGTTAAGAGAAAGATGGCGCACTACAGTTTGTGACGTACAAGAGCGACAAGGAAACAGAGTTATGTTTTCTGACCTTGTGGATTTTTTGGAAAAACAAGTCAGGATTTTATCTCATCCAGTTTTTGGGGATATTTCAGACCCCAAACTAAGTCACTCAGGAAACTTTGTCAAAACGAAAATGGCAGAAAGATACGTGACCAAGCGTGCCAGCTTTGTTACACCTACTGAAACCTCTAATCAAACTTTCCCTTCAAGATCCACAGTACATAAACCCTTCAAGCAACCAGAGATGTCTCAAGGAACGTCGTTCAAGATTTGTTATTATTGTAAAGGCCCACATCCATTAATGACATGCCCAAAGTTTAAGGATGTTCCTAGAAAGGAAAAGATTGGATTCTTAAAGCAAAGGGGAATCTGTTTTGGATGCCTTAAAGTTGGACATGTGAGCAAAGATTGTAGAAATCGCTTGACTTGCGAGGAATGTGGTTTCAAGCATCCAACTTTTCTTCATTTTGACAAAAGTCATAATCAAGTTGAACATCAAGACAGTTGTGGATAATGCTTACGTTAGTCTTGAAACCTGTGGATACACTGGGGCCGGAGATTATGGATGTTTGCTTTCTGTTGTACCAGTACAGCTGAAATCCAAAAGAGATAATAACGTGATAAAAACATATGCTCTCTTGGACCCTGGAAGTACTGCAACATTCTGTACAAATGGTGTGATGGAAAAACTGAACGCGCAGAGTGTTACAACTAACATTCTTTTGCGTACCATGGGACAGGAAAAGGTTGTGGAAACCCAAGTACTCTCCGATCTGGAAGTGGCTGAGTTACACAGTGACAAGTTCATGGCTCTTCCAGAAACCTTTTCACAAGAAGCAATACCTATCTGTACAAATCGTATTCCTTCTCAAGAGGACATTAAAAGATGGGATTATCTGAAAGATATTAAAATCCCAAGTTTGGATGTGGAGGTGGGACTGCGAATTGGGGCTAATGCAGCAAAGCTTATGGAACCCTGGGAGGTTATAAACAGCCAAGAGGATGGACCCTATGCCATAAAGACTTTATTGGGGTGGGTCATTAATGGTCCCTTAAGGGCAAATGTGAAAGGTTGTTCAGCCATTTATGCAAACAGGATATCCATTGTCAAGTTGGAAGAGCTGCTGATCTCTCAGTATATCCAGGATTTCAATGAAAAGAGACTGGAGGAAAGGCTGGAAATGTCACAAGAGGACTTGAAGTTTATGGCTATTTTAGAAAGATCTACATGTCAGCTAGATGGTCATTTTTGTATGGACTTACCCTTTAAGGAAGATACCATCACCATGCCAAACAATAAATCTGTTGCTGAACAACGGTTGAAGAGCCTTAAACGGAGGTTTGACAGAGAGCCAAGATTCCAAGAAGAGTACACCAGATTTCTCACAGAGGTGATTGACAACGGCTATGCAGAGGCAGTACCAACGAACGAGATTACTGGTGAAGAAGGTAAAGTGTGGTACTTACCTCATCACGGTGTTTGCCACCCAAAGAAGAAGAGCCTAAGAGTAGTCTTTGATTGTGCAGCAACCTTTAAGGGAATTTCTTTAAATTCAAAGCTCCTTCAAGGTCCTGATTTGACAAATCCCCTCTTTGGCGTTTTGACAAGATTCAGAGAAAATCCTGTTGCCTTGATGGCTGACATAAAAGCTATGTTCCACCAGGTAAAGGTCTCAAAGAAACATCTAAATTTTTTCCGTTTTTTATGGTGGCCAATGGGCAATTCATCTGTAAACCCAGTGGAGCACAGAATGAAAGTGCATTTATTCGGAGCAGTGTCCTCACCAAGCGTTGCTAACTATGCATTGAGAAGGACAGCAGTTGATAATCAGAACATGTTTGGAACAGAAGTAACAGACACAGTTCACAGTAATTTCTATGTAGATGACTGTTTGAAATCTCTGGCCACAGAAGAGGAAGCGGTACAGATGGTTAAAGATCTAACCGACTTATGTTCAAGAGGAGGATTCCACTCGTCAAAATGGACAAGCAACAGCAGAACTGTATTATCTTCCATCCTTGAATCAAATCAGTCCATCATGACAAGAGAAGTTGATCCTGAACAAGACAGCTTACCAGTGGAGAGAGCGCTTGGACTACAGTGGTGTGCTGAGAATGATAAGTTCATTTTCAAACCAGAAAAACAAGAAAAGGCACACACCAGACGTGGAATACTGTCAGCTGTAAGCTCCATTTATGATCCCCTGGGTTTTCTTTCACCCTTTACTTTGTTGCCAAAGATTCTGCTACAAGAAATGTGCCGGCAAAAGATGTCATGGGATGAACCAATTTCTCAAACACAGCTGCTACAGTGGAGTACATGGTTGACAGATTTGAAGAAGGTTGAAAAACTTGACATTGATCGCTGTGTTAAACCTAAAGGCTTTCAAGAACCTCTCCATATGCAACTTCATCACTTTGCAGATGCTAGTGGGCACGGATACAGCACTGTGTCCTACTTGAGACTGGAGAACCAAGAAAAAAAGGTTCACTTGGCCTTCATGTTGGGAAAGGCAAGGGTTACACCCTTGAAAGAGACAACAATTCCCCGACCCGAGCTAACTGCTGCAGTCTTATCAACAAAAGTTGACAGAATGCTACGCAATGAACTGCATTTTGAGCTTCAAAGGTCACTATTTTGGACAGATAGCCAGACAGTGTTGAAATAAATAAAAAATGAAACTAAACGATTTCACACTTTTGTGGCTAACAGAGTGGCCTAATAAGAGACGCTACAGACCCTGAACAGTGGAGGTACATTAGCTCAAAGGACAATCCTGCTGACGATGCCTCTAGAGGTTTACCTTTGGACAGTCTGTTGAAAAATAGCAGGTGGTTCACAGGTCCACCTTTTCTCAGACAGCATGAATATGACTGGCCTAAACCCTTTCTGTTGCAACAGATTTCGGCAGATGATCCAGAGGTCAAGAGAGACATCATAGTAAACGTTGTCACTACTGTAGCTCAAGATTCATTAATATCATTTGTGGATTATTTCTCTTCATGGATAAAGCTCAAAACTTCTGTGGCTTGGCTCCTCAAGTTTCGAGATGTTCTCCTGACTTTGAGTAAAAAGAGAAAAGTAATTGTTACCACTCCTCTCGGGTCATCAGAAATGGTAGAGAAAGAGTTGTCAAAGATTAAGTCTTCACTTGGTGGCCAATCATTGACTATTTCAGACTTTTCCAGAGCAGAAACTGCTATAATTCGTTTCAGTCAACAAAACATCTTTAAGGAAGAAATCATTCTTCTGGAAGCCGGGACATCATGTGTCAAGAGGAGCAGCAGTCTCTAAAAGCTGGATCCCAAGCTTATTGATGGCCTACTGAGAGTAGGTGGAAGGCTGAGGCATGCAGCCTTACCTGAAGAACAAAAGCATCCCGTGATGCTCTCAAAGAACCAGCATGTATCCAAACTTATTCTACAGCATGTACACCAATGTCTTGGACATGCAGGAAGGAATCACATGCTTTCAACCTTGAGGAAAAGGTATTGGATTACAAATGCTAACTCTGCCTGCAGAAAAATAATATCAAAATGTGTGATATGTCGACGCCAGAAAGGTCAGCCAAGTGAGCAGAAAATGGCTGATATGCCACTGGAAAGGGTTACCCCAGATTTACCTCCTTTTACCAACGTGGGGGTGGATTATTTTGGGCCGATCGAAGTCCGACGAGGACGCACTGTGGTTAAAAGGTACGGGGTCATCTTTACTTGCATGACTAGTAGAGCTGTTCATTTGGAAGTTTCCCATTCCTTGACCACTGATTCCTGTATCAATGCTATAAGAAGGTTTTTGTGTCGCAGAGGTCAAGTGAAGCGCATCCGATCAGATCATGGAACTAATTTTGTTGGGGCAGAAAGAGAGTTGAAACAAGCTTGGGCTGCTGTTGACCATGGAAAGATTCAAAGAACCCTCCTTCAAAGAGACATTGAGTGGGCATTTAATCCCCCAGCCGCATCACATCATGGAGGTGTTTGGGAACGGCTGATCAAAACGGTTCGAAAAATACTTTTCTCCATTTTGAAGCAACAGACGTTGGATGATGAACTCCTCCAAACAGTGATATGTGAAGTAGAGGCTATTCTTAATGATCGACCAATCACCAAGGCATCCGAGGATATTAATGATTTGGAAGCTCTAACACCAAATCATATCCTGTTGCTAAAAGGAAAACCTCTCCAGACCCCTGGATGTTTCACTGAAAACGATCTTTACATCAAACGACGCTGGAGACAAGTTCAGTATCTGGCTGACCTCTTCTGGAGTAGGTGGACCAAAGAGTACTTACCGATGATGCAGGAGAGACAAAAATGGATCAAGCCTCGACGAAGCTTTTCTGTTGGAGACATTGTCATCATCATGGATCGTTCAACTCCTCGAGGATTGTGGACTATGGGAAGAGTTACCAAAACGTACCCAGACAATGCTGGCTTTGTACGAACAGTTGAACTGAAGACTAAGACTGGGGTTCTAGAAAGACCAATATCAAAGATCTTTCTACATCAAGAAGCTCCATAAGTTTTTGTAATTGTGTATTCTATCACAATTAGGGGCCGGAGATGTAGGAGCCATTTATTTTGTGGGTTGGGCTTTCATCTGTGGTGGTGGTGGTGTCGGGTGTGTCACATGTGATTTAAGTGGGTCCTCCGGTGTTTCGGTATAGGTGATTACGCATGGGTGGCGGGATGAGCATAAGGTTTTTACCGCTCGCGACACAATGGCACGATATACTTCCTTTTTGTGACGATCAACTGGGAGCACTACTATCCTTGGAACCGCATCATCTAAAACGCCAGCTAATGCTTGTAAAAGAAAATAAACAAGACTTTAACGCACGGACAAAAAGAGGTTTGATTTATGAATAGAAGGGCGTCAGAAGCCGCCTCCGCCCTCACCCAGCTGGCTGACAACAGGAAGCATCAGCACAGGCACTAAGGGGCCTTAAGTGTGCCAAGTAGACATCCCCCACACCATGACACCACCACCACAGCACAGTGGTAACAAGGCATGATTGATCCATGTTCTCATTCTGTTTACGCCAAATTCTGACTCTACCGTCTGAACGTCTCAACAGATATCGAGACTCATCAGACCAGGCAACATTTTTCCAGTCTTCAACTGTCCAGTTTTGGTGAGCTGGTGCAAACTCTAGCCTCTTGTTCCTGTTTGTAGTGGAGATGAGTGGTACCCGGTGGGCTCTTCTGCTGTTGTAGCCCGTCTGCCTCAAGGCTGTGCGTGTTGTGGCTTCACAAATGCTTTGCTGCGTTCCTCGGTTGTAACGAGGGTTAGGGCCTTCTATCAGCTTGAATCAGTCGGCCCATTCTCCTCTGACCTCTAGCATCAACAAGGCATTTTCGCCCACAGGACTGCTGCATACTGGATGTTTTTCCCTTTTCACACCATTCTTTGTAAACCCTAGAAATGGTTGTGGGTGAAAATCCCAGTAACTGAGCAGATTGTGAAATACTCACACCGGCCCGTCTGGCACCAACAACCATGCCGCACTCAGAATAGCTTAAATCACCTTTCTTTCCCGTTCTGACCTTCAGTTTGGAGTTCAGGAGACGGTCTGGACCAGGACCACACCCCTAAATGCACTGACGCAACTGCCATGTGATTGGCTGATTGGATAATTGCATTGAGGAGAAATTGAACAGGTGTTCCTAATAATCCTTTAGGTGAGCGTACACATATATCATTTTTTCATTTTAGATTTTTGTTCTTGTAAAGCGCCGAATGATTTTCATTTTAAAGGTGCTCTGTAAAAAACCTGTTTACTTCTTCTAGTCTTTGCTAGACCTGCAGCTCCACTTCTTACTGCTGTGATTCAAGAGCCAGCTACTAACACAGCAGCAGCCCAAATGACCACTGTTCAGTAGGTTGGTTTTCAATCGGTTTATATAGAAAAAGCATAGGAATCCAACAGTTTAAGATGAAATTTTGGTAAATTGCCTGATTGACAAACTGCCAACCAGGGTTCTACAACCCCCAAGCTGCTTTACTGTCGTTCACACCCTGGTGGTGATGAGCTGCGTCGTAGCCACAACCGCCCAGGGGCTCGATGACGCAGGCACCAGCGGTCCCTCTGACCTAAGCACACAACAGGAAGGGCACTTCTCAGCCTAAAACCGCCCTGGACAGAGTGGGTTAAATCAGCTCACCTGAGGGTAGTTGTTCTTCTCGCCAGCTCCATGACAGAAAGTAGGTGCATCCCTCATAGCACTTAATAGCATGAGGTAATGAATTAAACAGTTCAAGGTGATCTGTCAGTTACACAGGAACAACTGTTGCTGGACATTTTTAACATTTGTCTCAGTTTTATGGTTTTTGTCAGACTCTGAACCAGGAAAGAGCAGCAGGCAGAAAACTCCGAAGCAACCAATGACTCCGCCCCCTAGCCAATCAGCTGGCCCAACCCAGCACTGCCAGGAACCTCAATGGAGCAGGGACTAAAGCATTGTGGAAAGAGTAGAGGGAAATACTGTGTGTGAGTTCCTCTGAGTGGTGCTGGTGGAAAACCAGCTGGCGACTGCAAGATGGAGCTAAAGGCTTCAACCTTCCGGTTCCAGGGCGCTGCTACCACCACTGTTAAGTACTTGTGCTTTGCTGTTGCAGGTACAGCGTTCTGCTAAATCAGAAGTTTAGTGACTTGTCTCACATAGAGCTGACCTTGGCTGTGCTAGACCTCGTAGAAGCAGCAGAGGGACAGTACCAGCTTGGACTCACTAAGGTGTCAATATGCTCTTCTGCCATTATTTACGCAGGCTAATGGAATCAGCTCTGACTCTGTTTCCCTCCATATGTCAGGTATTCCTAAAGGAGTTCCTCTATCAGCAGCTTGAGGAGAAATGGAACAGTACGCAGACCTGGGCTGCTGTCACCATCCAGAGGAACATCAGGGGGTTCCTCTGTAGGAAGAACTTCAGGTTCTACAAACAGAAGGCCATCGTTATCCAGAGCCACATCCGAGGACACCAGGCCAGGTGAGCAGTGGCTTGTCTGGCCTTCAGCATGATCGTCTCATGTAGAAATAAACAAGAAGTCCTTAAACCGCGCTACGGGTCCATCATGAGTCTCTGCTGCTGAAGCTCCAAGAAACTATACGTGAAAAGTCCATCCATCCATAGTCTGAACCTGGGATGTGGGGGGTGCCGATCTCCAGCAGTCTCCGGGCAAACAGGTGGGGTACACCCTGGACAGGTTACCAGTTCATCACAGGACAACACAGGACTAATGCACACACACACACACACACACACACACTCACACACACACACACACACACACACACACACACACACACACACACACACACACACACACACAGGGGCGTAGCACCAAATTCTGGGCCCTAGGTACAAGTCTTCTAGATGGGCCCCCATGCTCAATTACGTAATATCTCTCTTACACATTTTTTGTCATGCTATAAGACAAGATAATAAATATGATCTCAGTTTAACCTCTATATTGAGCAAATACAAATGCCAGCATAATAAAAGTGAAATGCCCAGACTTCACACATAATTATTTTTATTTGCCAACAATGTGTTCAAACAAAAATCCTGGAATTTATTTTCCAGTAAATGCCCCCTGACGGGTCTTCATGTTAGCAAAATCACTTATGAGATCTTTAAAGTCCAATCCTTTGGCTAATTGGCTTTCAATAGAAAGAAGAGCTAGGCTGTTCAGTCTATCCTGGGACATTGTTGATCTCAAATAATTTTTCACCAGTTTCAGTTTGCTAAAAGCCCGTTCACCCCCAGCAACAGTCACAGGTAGTGTGCAAAATATCCTCAGTCCAATACAAACTTCTCCAAAAATGCTCTGTAATTGCATCCTGTAGATGGCATTAAGCAGCTCAAGAGGAGACCGAATGTGTGGAAATGTGGCACCAGATATTGTTCTCAGGTGTAGCATCTCATTCTCAAATTCAGCTGTGAGATCCTTGTAATATTTTCTCATCAGTGCCTGGCATGATGTCTTCATCTGCTCTTCAGTCATGTCTGTCATGGTTCATGATGTTAAGCTTTGCTGATACAGGTGCTGGCCAGTAAATTAGAATATCATCAAAAGGTTGAAAATATTTCAGTAATTCCATTCAAAACGTGAAACTTGTACATTATATTCATGCAATGCACACAGACCAATGTATTTCCAATGTTCATTACATTTAAATTTGATATTCATAAGTGACAACTAATGAAAACTCCAAATTTGGTATCTCAAAAAATTAGAATATTCTGAAAAGGCTGAATATAGAAGACACCTGCTGCCACTCTAATCAGCTGATTTACTCAAAACACCTGCAAAGGCCTTTAAAAGGTCCCTCAGTCTTGTTTTGAAGGCACCACAATCATGGGGAAGACTTCTGACTTAACAGCTGTCCAAAAGACAATCATTGACACCTTGCACAAGGAGGGCAAGACACAAAAGGTGATTGCTAAAGAAGCTGGCTGTTCGCAGAGCTCTGTGTCCAAGCACATTAACAGACAGGCGAAGGGACGGAAAAAATGTGGTAGAAAAAAGTGTACAAGCTCTAGGGATAACCGCACCCTGCAGAGAATTGTGACGACAAACCCATTCAAAAATGTGGGGGAGATCCACAAAGAGTGGACTGCAGCTGGAGTCAGCGCTTCAAGAACCACCACGAGGAGACTCATGAAAGACATGGGATTCAGGTGTCGCATTCCGTGTGTCAAGCCACTCTTGAACAAGAAACAGCGCAAGAAGCGTCTCGCCTGGGCCAAGGACAAAAAGGACTGGACTGATGCTGAGTGGTCCAAAGTTATGTTTTCTGATGAAAGCAAGTTCTGCATTTCCTTTGGAAATCAAGGACCCAGAGTCTGGAGGAAGAGCGGAGAAGCACAGAATCCACGTTGCATGAGGTCCAGTGTAAAGTTTCCACCGTCAGTGATGGTGTGGGGTGCCATGTCATCTGCCGGTGTTGGCCCACTCTGTTTCCTGAGGTCCAGGGTCAATGCAGCCGTCTACCAGGAAGTTTTAGAGCACTTCATGCTTCCTGCTGCTGACCAACTTTATGGGGATGCAGACTTCACCTTTCAACAGGACCTGGCACCTGCACACAGTGCCAAAACCACCAGCACCTGGTTCAAGGACCATGGTATCCCTGTCCTTGATTGGCCAGCAAACTCGCCTGACCTTAACCCCATAGAAAATCTATGGGGTATTGTGAAGCGGAGGATGCAATACGCTAGACCCAACAATGCAGAGGAGCTGAAGACGACTATCAGAGCAACCTGGGCTCTCATAACACCTGAGCAGTGCCACAGACTGATCGAGTCCATGCCACGCCGCATTACTGCAGTTATTGAGGCAAAAGGAGCCCCGACTAAGTATTGAGTGCTATACATGCACATTCTTTTCATGTTCATTCTTTTCAGTTGGCCAACATTAGAGAAACAAACATTTTTTCATTGGCCTTTAGAATATTCTAATTTTCTGAGATACCAGATTTGATGTTTTCATTGGTTGTCACCTATAAATATCAAAATTAAACGTAATAAACATCGGAAATACATTGGTCTGTGTGCATTGCATGAATATAATGTACAAGTTTCACGTTTTGAATGGAATTACTGAAATATTTTCAACCTTTTGATGATATTCTAATTTACTGGCCAGCACCTGTATATATTGATATATTAAATATATATGACATGAAATAAACCAGGTTCTCTCTGTGAATGTAATGTACTCTAAATTTTATAATCCCTGCATTATCAGCCAAATTATAAGATTGTCCGTTTTCAAGATCAAATATAAAGAAATTTAAAATAGGCTTAAAATATCTAACCAAGTCAATAACAATCCTCTAACACCAGTGTCATCATGTTATATGAAAAACAGTGTCAGCTTCTCATTCCTGAGATTACCACGAATCCATCGATACCAAGTTTGTCCTGGTCCATGACTGGGAAGGAGCTGAAATATCCACACAGAGTGAACCTGTTTTTACTGCGAGGTCCGCCAATTAATTGGCGGCGGCCGCCCGCGATAATAATTCTGATTAATATATATATATTAATTAGTGTTTTCACTGATAACACTAATTAATTTATATTTGATCTTGATGGTGAAACTAAAGGCGTTTAACACTGAACACCTAACATGAATGCAGCTTCTGAGAGCTAGCTAATATCAGCTAAAACTGTGTTCTGCTGCTGCTGCTCACCTTCTTTCTTGAAGAACCTAGTCAATACTTGCATCTGTTCAATTAACTTTTCCTCCTTCTCCTTTTCTTTTCTGGAAGCCAGATTTCCCTTTCTTGGGAAAAGACATGAGTGACTCTCCTGCCTCCAGCTCTGGCTGTCGGCATCTGCGATGCCTCATAGCTGTACATGCGGCCGTGCAGCCCTGGCCGCTGGTGTGGACTAAACCACTTTGCACATTTTTAAGGGGTGATGGATGCCTCAGAGATTATTCAGTTATTATTTTTAAGGCGAAATTCTGTTTCTTAACCTCTTTATCCAGGTAAAGGGAAGTTTATTAAGACATTAAGTAAGTTGGGGGGAAAAACAACAACAATAAAACATTTTTATTCAAAGCTGTCTCAGGGCCCCTCCCTGCAGTGGGCCCTGGGTAAACGGTACCCTTTCCCCCCCCAGTCCGACGCCCCTGCACACACACTCACACTCACATGTACACACACACACACACACACACACACTCACACACGCACACACACACACACACACACACACACACACACACACATACACACACACACACACACACACACACACACACACACACACACACACACACACACACACACACATACACACACACACACACACACATACACACACACACACACACACACACACACACACACACATACACACACACACACACACACACACACACACACACACACACACACACTCCTAGGGTTGAAGCTGTTATATATGAATGATCAGTTTTATATGAACATGTTACGGTGACCCTCCGCAGCGACTAACACTTCCATTGCATTCAGGGCCCGTGTCAGACATTATTGTTTTAGGATTTCTGCAGAGATAACTGTGCTGCTGCCATCCTCCTTCCTCCAGGAAGTACTTCAAGCGTCTGAGGCAGTCCTTCACCCAGTTCTGGGCTGTGATGCTCATAACTAGAAACACAATCAAGAGACACCACTGGAAGAAGGTACATGTTGTGTTGTGTCATCGCTGTTCTTGTGACTCTTGGAAGCGTTGTCACTGGTTTTGCTCACTTTCCTGAGCTGAGCTCTTTGCTTCTCGTTCATCTTCCTTTTCAAGGCTTGTTCTTTTGTTATTAGCACTTTTCACACTGAAAAAAGCTAAACACACATCAAGAAAACCACACCGCAGCAACAATGGGACGCGGTCCTGTCCACATGAGCTAGAGATCAGTGGGAGATTAGCTACATTATAACTCAAGCTAATATAGAAGCGCCAAGGGCAACCAGCACAACTGCAGCATGGCATGGTACCCAAGTGGATGCGCAGGAGACGGGAATGTGTGAAGCAGCTGTTCTCGGTCGAGAGAAGGAGAAGCTGGCACATGCCTGGCTGGGCTGCCTCCAAAGAAGAAGCAGCAGATTCGCAGGTCTCTGATCGCAGGGCTGCTGCTGTTAAAGGGAGAGGCACGCTAACAAAACTCAGTAACCTCCTCTGCAGTAGTGACCTAGAAAATCTTTCACCGCAATGGACCAGCGGTGCTCCGAAGCCTCTGCTAGCTATCCCTGTCAGAGTCTAGGGACCCAGCCAGCCCCACCAACACGTTACCTTTCAACCCATCTTTGACCAAGCAGTGTTATGTCAAATTCACAGCATGTATCCCCATCCAACAAGTGAAATACAGAAATATAATTTTACTTACTGATAAAAATGAAGCAGCTTGGATGACCAGTTAGTGCAATCTAAACCACAGCTTGCCATTTAGGTCCAGATAATTCCATGATTAACATCCAAACACGACCCACAGAGGGCACACTAAAGTTCAGTGTGAAAATGGTGCAACATCTATTAATGTGAGGCCTTCACCGGAGCTAGCTCCTAGCGCTAGCTCTGACATGGCCGATAACAAGTCAGTCTCCGCCTTGATGCTCCTGTTTGGTGACAGCTCTTTTGCATCTGCGTCCTAAGAGTAATTTTTTTAGTAAAATGGAGAAATGTCAGTTTAATTATTTAGTTTATTTAGTTGTTACCAGTCTCGGTTACCTTTGCTGCGCGGCGTCATTTCCACATTTTGCCAGGCTCAGCAATCCTCATACTAAACAAGCATGCAGCGACTGTGGAGAGGAAAACTCCCTTTTAACAGGAAGAAACCTCCAGAGAATCCTGGCTCAGTATAAGCAGCCATCCTCCACGACTCACTGGGGATGGAGAAGACAGAGCAGACCAGTAGCGGTTTTAGGCACGGGCAGACAGCGCAGTTGCCCGGGGCGGCATTTTTTCATGACACAAAAGGGACGCACAAGCGCTGAGTAAAAAGTAAAAAAGAAAGAAATCTGCGCCGCACCGAGTTTTTCTATTCTATCTGTCATATCACAGAGTCTGGATTGGAAACAGCAAGTTGGCGCCCCCTGCAGCTGCAGGCGCTCCTGCTGACTGAGAGGGTTCAGGTGCTCCGTGCGTGTATGAAGAAGAGGAAGGGGAGGGGTGTGGCGAGGGAATTCACCTCTGGGTGGGTCCAAATGAAATGAGCGGGTAGGGGCTGAATCAACTGTGTTAACATGGCTAAAGTCAGTCACATCTCGATGTTCTTCCATTTAACGCACATTTCATTCATAATATCATAAACACAGGCCTATCATTCTTTCAGGTTTCTCTGAATTGTGTGAAATGGCCGAATAAAAAAAGGAAAAACAAAACGATTTTGTGGTCATCCCCCCATCAAGGTCAAATAGTTTAGTCCTGACTAAAGGAAACTTACTGAGTCAAGAGCCAAACAGAAGAGATGAACATAAAAAGGCTAAAACCACCAGGTGCCCGATTCAGGGGGAAAAAAAGAGGAGAAAGATAAAGGTATGTAGCTCTCATGATGCATGTTTTCAGTTTTTTTACCAGTTAACTGGGATTTTAACGGTTAAATGCGGTCAACTAGTTGCTAACAGAGCTAATAGGGCTGAAATATTGAAACGAATATTCAAATGGTTAAAAAAATTCCTTGAATCGTTTTTTACTGATTCAAACTAGGATTTGTTGAATGCTCGCTGCAGCCTGCCTGAATAACAACAAACACATGTTGATCATGTTCACATGATAATAAATAAAACTCTACAAGCAGAAGAAAACTCCCCAGTCACCACCAACTATCCTGTTTATTTATTGCAGATGGCTGCACTGATTATTTTTTACATGATTTGTTCTGTAAAAGTTGGCATTTTTGGTAGTCTACAGTTTTTTATGTCAGTTTAAATTACAATTTCAGAGGCAATTCTAAAATATTATGGATCATGATAAAGATCTATTGGAGATCTACCCCAACTTTTGGACTGCTCTGCCAGTCACTGTGGCTCAAGCTGAGAGGAGCTTTTCAAACTTGATCAAGTCATACCTGAGGTCACCTGTGTTTCAGGGGCGGCTCACTCACCTGGCTCTGATTAGTATCAATCACTCAGTAGGGGAGCAGATTTCATGTGATGACATTATTGATGACGTTGCATCAAGGTTAGGTTTTAATTTTAGTTTGTGTTTTCTGTTCTAAGTGCAATGCTGTAGTGATTATCTTTAGTTTGTTATGTGTGAATATTTATTATATATTATGTTCATATATTCTTAACATTTAGTTAGTTTAGTTGTTTTTGTATGTTTGATTCTATATATTTTGATACAGTGTATAATGTATATCGCTTTACATTCTGACAACTTCATAGTAACTAATGTAAATATGTGCAACTTAGAAAAATGAATGTTCAATAGTCGTTCTAATAAAACATGCCTGTTTGTAGAAAACATGCGTGTGTTCATGCAGGGGGGGGCTCCAAGGGGGCCTCGCCCGGGGAGTAACTCCATGTAGAACCGCCACTGGAGCAGACGCGCACACACACACACACACACACACACACACACACACACACACACACACACTTGGTCAGAACACACACACGTGATCTGTGGGGGAGTGAAGGTTTCTGCAGCTTTTCTATTTCACACGCGCACACACACACACACACACACACACACATACACACACTTGGTCAGAACACACACATAGGGCTGAAACGATTCCTCGAGTACCTCGAATAATTCGAGTACAAAAAATCCTCGAGTCAAATTCTCTGCCTCGAAGCTTCGTTTAATTAATGTTTAATTAATTCATGGCTTTGCAATCGCCCGTGGTCATGTTTCACCCGGACCAAAATAAGTGACGCACATGCCCACTGCACTGAATGCACACGCGAGTAGCGAACGTAACTTAACTTTCTCTTAAGCCATGGCGGACAACGTGGACCCCGGTGGAGTGAGAAAAAGACAGAATATGTCAAAGGTGTGGGACCATTTTTCACGCCGTAAGGCGGAAAACGTAGTCCAGTGTAAATACTGTAAAATGGATTTAGCCTACCACCTCATATTCCTCCATGCTGCAGCACCTGACCAGGAAACATCCACGTGTAAATGTCACTTCTGCAAGCGGACTCGGAGCCTCTACAAGATAACGCATTTTAGCCTGTATTTCTATATGTTCTGCAGACACTGTGCAACTTTTTCATCTGTAGCACGGTTTCAGCTCACACCGTACGTCTGGTAGCAACACGTCGGTCTTAAAATGTGTTAAAAATAGCAGTTTTTACAACACGTCAGACTTTTTACAGTGTTATTATTGATGTCCGTTGTCCCTCGGGGTCGCTGCAGGAGGACACGGGTATTTATGAGAGAAAAACGAAAGAAAGTAAATAAATGTTGTGTGATCAGTATAATTTGACATAACCACGGCAAACTTGCTTTCGACAATCCTTGTTAGTGTGAGACAAAAAAAAGTGTAGAAATTAAAATGAACGTGTGTTAATAGGGAAACAGCTGGCGAGCCATGTTTGAGCATGCACCGTGAGCGGTTCTGGTTCTGTTTGGGCCGCAGCCGCTCGCATTTGTTTACTGTGAAGTAAAATTGAAGTGCTGAAGTTTTGAAAAGTAAATTTGAATAAAACTTGAAGAATAACTGGCAATTGCTTTCTTATTTCAAGAGGTCTTTCATATTTTATAAAATGCTATTAATGCGATTAATCGATAAGAGATTCGATAGAGTACTCGATTACAAAAATATTCGATAGCTGCAGCCCTACACACACACGTGATCTGTGGGGGAGTGAAGGTTTCTGCAGCTTTTCTATTTCACACGCACACACACACACACACACACACACACACACACACACACACACACACACACACACACACACACACACACAAACACACACACACACACACACACACACACACACACACACACACACACACACACACACACACACACACACACACACAGTTAAAGAGCAGACTGTAGAATAAAGCAGTAGAGTGTGGAAAGTGGTCAGTGTATCCTCCAGCAGTCTAAGCCTATAGCAGCACAACTACAGAGATAACTCTGGATAATCTATCCTATTTAGATGGAGGCATGTTGGAGGCAGGGCAAGGGAGAGCCGTCTTTACCGACTGTACACTCCACCTCCCTGTAATCCCCCACTTGTCCAGATTTAGGCTAACATCAGATTTTAACCATAGGCCCTATCAAATAAAAATGTTTTAAGCCTATTCTTAAAAGTAGACAAGGTGTCTGCCTCACGGACTAAAGCTGGGAGCTGGTTCCACAGGAGAGGAGCCTGATAGCTAAAAGATCTGCCTCCCATCCTAAGTTTAGATACTCTGGGAACCACCAGTAGACCTGCAGTCTGAGAGCGAAGTGCTCGATTAGGAACGTATGGAACAATCAGATCACTGATGTATGATGGAGCTTGATTATTAAGAGCTTTATATGTGAGAAGGAGGATCTTAAAATCTATTCTGAATTTAACAGGTAGCCAATGTAGGGAAGCTAAGACAGGAGAGATATGATCTCTCTTTTTAATTCTCATCAGAACTCTAGCTGCAGCATTTTGGACAAGCTGAAGACTTTTAACTACATTCTGTGGACTTCCTGAGAGTAATGGATTACAGTAATCCAGTCTTGATGTAATAAATGCATGAACTAGTTTTTCAGCATCACTCCTGGAAAGTATGCTTCTAATCTTAGCAATATTCCGAAGGTGGAAAAAGGAAATCCGACAAACTTGTGAAACCTGGGATTTGAATGACATGTCCTGGTCAAAGATAACACCAAGGTTCCTTGCTTTGTTCTCAGAGATTAATGTAATGCCATTAAGGTCAGGTGATTGGCTAAGCAATTTCCTTTTCTGGATTTCTGGTCCAAAGATGAGAACTTCCGTCTTGTCTTGATTTACAAGCAAAAAGTTTAGAGTCATCCAATGTTTTATGTCCTCAAGACAAGCCTGTAATCTACCCAACCGATTAGGTTCATCAGGGTTAATGGATAAATATAACTGAGTATCGTCGGCATAACAGTGGAAGTTTATCCCATGCTGTCTAATGATTTTACCAATTGGAAGCATATATATATATATATATATATATATATATATATATATATATATATATATATATATATATATTAGGGCCGGAACTTTAACGCGTTAATTACGATTAATTAATTAGAAAAAAATAATGCGTTAAAAAAAATTAACGCATTTAATTGCAGCTTGCATTTCGAGCAAGGCGGAACCTTTGTCATTGCACGATTTCCTCGTAGACCGAATATCACTGACGCACACAACAATGCACAGTGCTACTGGCTCCTAAAACGTAATAAAAACAGAAAGAAGTTGCCTTGCTTGGACTGATGCAGGATTTAGGAAACACGTCCGCCTCTTTTCTTAACTTGAAAAAAACACTTCCAGACAACAACGGAGTCCGTGTCGCGGACATTTTTCAGAGATCGTCTCTGCTGCGGCGGCCCGGTGGCACCGGGAACTTTACAATAGTTGCGGTAAGCTATATTTTTAACATTTACGTAACATCTGTGCAGCGCTGAAAGCACCAGACAGAATAATTCTGTGCCCTAACAGTAGTTTATGAAAGTAGTCAGACAAACGAGAGGCACCTGGATGCCGCTGGGAGAACGCTCCGTGTTCTCACTACTCTGTAAACAATCACAGACAACGTGTCTTAAAGTTGAAAACAGAAGTTTAAGTTAAAACAGAAACACTCTGAAACTTTTCTGATGATTTTCTAAACAATTCTGTCGGGGAGTTATACGTTTCTGAGACGAGTCTCTGTCTAACATCACATGCATTACTATCATTAAGCAGCAGGTGTGTTGAAGCTGTCATCAGCTAAGGGGCGGATGCTTAAGTGCATCAGGGGCAGCGAGGAACGAGGAAGTGGTGATCGGGCTGGAGATCACACCAGATTCGCTGCTGCAGGCGTGAATCTGCGGGTCTGCAGCATCCCCTTCTTAACGTGACATCAGGACTTCCCATGTAAGGAAGGTCCGCTCACCTGTTCATCACATCATTATTTCCTCGCCATGATCTTTTATCTTCCCATCATCCTCCAGTCATCCAACTGGAACCAGTTAGTGTTCCTGATCATTCTCAGAATATGCCATGCCTGCTCTGGTGTTAAAAGTTAGTACATTTAAGTCCTAGATCATATTTGTGCCTGTTCTACTGTCATTTTGAAGGATTATTATTTATGTGTGTTTTTACTACATTATGAGTAGAAATGCTAATAAAAACTCCCAATTATACAAACAATTGAAACTGGAAAAATTAGAATCTGGTGCAAAGTCAAATTTATTTCAGTCATTCAACTAGACAGAGAGACTATTTAAAGGCTCAGAAACCCTTTGCAGGTGTTCTCTATTAGTAATTATACATTTTTGTTGATTTGGGTTTTGTTTCATATCACACAGTGACATTTGAATAATTAAAATGTATT